TGAACGGGAAGAAAATGGACCGTGTTATGAAATTTTGAAATTTTATGTGCTTTGAGGTACTTTTTCAGTTTCCTTAAATCAATCTCGAAAACCTGGAAGCACATATATTCTATGATTATAGATAAAAGATTGAGTGTACGTTTGCATATTCATACTTAACTTTAATACTTGCATGAAAAATAAGGGCGTCGTGAAATTAATCAGGACGTTTACTTTGAAGCTGGAGATAGAATACAAGTTCTAAGCAGGCAATTGCAGACTTTCCTTTAGGTGGCAGTGTGTAGCAAGGAGAGGCTGCGACAGTTACTCTACTGCATTGATCTCTAGCAACAAACTATTAAGAAAAAAAATCGGTTTCTTATCAGAAATGTTTTCTTGCGTCTTTTGTATTCGGTTTATTTTTATAATACAAATCTCTGGTTTAAATCTTCAAGAAAATACACCTTGTCTCACGAAATCATTACCATTCATTTCCTTTTGCTTCAAAACAGAATCTATTTTTTAATATGTGCTTATAAGCATCCGCTATAGTGATGGTATAAAACCTGTAGGTGTTAAGAAATATCTTTTCACTGATTGTCAATATCGAGTTGGAAGCAAACATCACAATTCTCTGTCATTTGATGGTTTGCAAAACTGGAGCGTTGGAAGTTACCTGAAGAGTGAGTATTGGGAAAATAAAAGGACAAAGATATAGACATGTATCCTAAAAATTATACAAAAATACATAGTTGGTTCTAAATTTTAGAGAATACCTTCCAGTAGTTTCTCTCGCTATTCTCTTCCTTTGGTTTTGTTGATTGGTCTTTGCAGAGTCTTCCAAATACTTGGAATAAATTAAAATATGAAGCTATCCTTATCCTTATCTCTCTTTTTTAAAAAAAAATTGTATTAGTGAGACACCATGAGGTACAGTTGTAGACTTACAAATTTTTGTGCTTGGGTTTCAATTATACGATGATCAAATACCCATCCCTCCATCAGTGCCCATTTCCCACCACCACAGATCCCAGTATCCCTCCTACCCCCATCCCCTCCTCCCACCCTGCCTCTGTGGCAGGGCATTCCCTTTTGGTCTCTCTCTCCTCTTAGGTGTTGTGGTTTGCAAAAGAGGCAATGGGTGACAATCATCCTTATCCCTTTTTATTATAACTCTAAGCTAGCTTGTACCCATTTCCCTTTCAAGTATATAATTTCATATAAAACAACTATGGAGACAATTCCCAGAACTTTTTCTGTTACTTTTTTTCCCTATTATTTTCTGTTTTTTTTTTTTTTTATTTCTCCTCTCCTAGACAGGAATTTTTTTATTTGGGGTATAAGGCAAATCCTAATTTCCAATATCCTTTGTAAAAAAGAGACAGTGAAGGAATTAGAACAGTCCAAACATAACCGCTCCAAATCTTGATCAGAGACTTTATACTTTTTTACATAATTATATTCTGCTCATGTCTGATTCAATTAGAAGTCTTTCCAACAAGCAGGTTAGAGCATCTGGAGCTTTTGATCTCCTTCAAACCTCTGATGTAATCAGGCAAAATGATTACTTCAAAAAGAGAGCACAAACCCTTAAATCCTTTCTTCCCAATTTCCAATGATACTTTTAACCCTTTAGGTTCCTTGCACCTGTAACCCTAACTTAACAGCAAGAGTTTAGCTGCAAGCTGCAAGCTTGACTATTCCAGAATATTTTAGAAATCTCTAATGCCAAAGTAGCAGCAAAAACTTCCTTCCTTTCCCACTGAAAAGGGCACTGAAATCCACTAATTAACTCCGTTTATTAAAATGATATTAAAAAAGCAAATCTCTAACAAATTGAGATAAAATTTCCCACCAATTTTACATCTGCAGCCTTGCTAAATTGCACGGATTTTTCTCAGTCCCTCTTTTTTTGTGTGTGTTTTCAAATTCATAAAAATAAGCTTTTGCCTTGACCTTAATTTGTTGCTTTCTATCTTCAAGCTGTAAAATGCCCTCCACTGAGTCTCTTGTGTTTTATCAGATGTCACTTGTTTTATACTCCTTATTCTTTTTGTGCTTGGTGCTTTTATCCTTTTCAAACTACTATGGGTGATGTGGGCTTCAGTTCCCTGACATGACTGTCCTACTCCGTAAACTTCCTTTTGTGGGTAGAACATAGATCAGCTGCTGTTTAATAAAGCAGGCATCTCATTTCATTCCTTTCACATCCATCAAAATGTCTTTTTCCTAGAACTGGCATTCTTCCACTATTATTTGGTTAACTTGCCACATACAAGTGATTTTTCATTTCTTGATTGGGGAAAGGCGCTCTCAGGGGTGATGTTTTTCTTATCGCAATGGAGAATCCCAGCTTTCTTTCTTGAGACAAAGAGCTTGCTCTTCTGCCATTGTGATAGCTATCCAGCCTCTAGCATCTTGGTGCTACTAGTTTTTGTGATGCTTAGTCCTGTTTGTGGGGAAATGTTACCTATTTAAGTTCATCTTAAGTTAAAGATGAAACAAGAAACAAAGAAAAGTTATACTGCCTAAATTGATGAGCTCCTGAAACGAATGAGAATCATAGTAATTTTGAATGTTTATATATTTGTCTTTATTTGTAAGATATCAAATTATGGCATCCATGTATAAATCCCCATGCATTTTATTCTGATCACTGTGAAAAAACAAGCAAGAGTGATTTTTCTCATTTTGTGGATGAGCAAAATGAAGCGAGACTAAGTGAGCAGAAATATAGTGACAGAGGAGGGAATAAATGTCTCCTGATCCCAAGCCTGCTGCCTCCAGCATTTTGAAGCTGCTGGCTTCTATGAAAGTTAGTGATATTTGGAGGGAAATGTCACCGTTGAAATATACTATAGATTTGGCTGGGCCAAAGGGATTCTCTGTCTACCATAGAAATGCAAAATACTGATGCATTTTTGAAAAGCCATGTGGACCCAGATCTGCTAAAAGAAGGCAATTTCCTTTGACCTCTCCAGGATTCTTTTAACTGAATGGAAAGGGCTCTCAATAATACAGGATGTGAGAGATTTCCTGCAAGTTTCTAGTCTGTGATTCTTTGGAGGATCATGGTGAAAATAATTGTTAAAATACAAATAGGGGGGAAATAAGCATAAATCATAAGATCATAAGTGTTCTCATCATGAATATAGAAAGCAAATATATGAGATGTCGAACATGTTAATCAGTGTGGGAATCAGTTTATGATGTATATGATTATCAGATTATCATACCACATTTCATTTCATCATCCTGTTATTCGTCGATTGCCTCGAGCAGGCTCCAGTAACGTCTCTTTCATCCTAGCCCTGAGATTATATTCATGGCACTTTAGGAGAATGAGACCCATCATTGTTACTGGTATTTGGCATATTTGGTACGCCACGGGGAGTTTGCCAGACTCTGCCCTGTGGGCAGGCTACATTCAATAGCCTGCAAGTTTGTCCAAAGTAGGAATGAGATAATAAGATGTCATAAAAAACGTTTTGATAAGATGTCGCGGTTCCAGGATCTGGATTTTATAGTCTCTGAGTCTTGGCCGCTGATGGGATTACATGGCGCCAGGGGGCCAGGTGGTGGGTGTGACCCCCGCCTACTGGAATTTGGAGGTTCTGGATGGAAGATGCTCGACTCCAATCCAAGTAGGCTTAGAGGTCTCGGCCCCGGAACCCGCGTGGCTTTGTCCCTCTGCCAGTACCTTCATACCACATACATTTAAAAATAAACTTGGCAACCCTAAATATATTACTTTACTTTTTGATCATATCTATACCTATATAAGGATGGAAAGGGTAAATAAAGATAATCTTTGGACATGGACTCTACCTATCAACAGCGTAAGGAAGCTCCTTTTTTAAACAACAGATTTTTTAAACAACAGATTTATAATTGTAATAGAATACAAATATGCCTCTGTCCTCATTGCTAAGAAAAGGTGAGCAAAATTTATTTTGGGACAAAATGAATGGAACTTGAGTTTATCATGCTAAGGAAAAAAATATATATACATATATATGTGAACTATAATTACTAATTACTTTATTCATATATAAATAGGAAAGAAGCAAACAAACTGACAGAAACAATTCAAGTAACTCCTAGGGGGCTGTAGAGAAGTTACAGTAGGTAGGCTCTTGCTTGCTTGCTGCTGATGGGAGTTAGATCCCTGGCACCTCACCTGGTTCCCTGAGCCTCATCCGGAGTGATGCCTGAGCAAAGAGCCAAGCGAAAGCCCCAAACACCACCCAGTGTGCCCCACTTCCCCTGAAAGAAAAGTAACTCCTAGACTTGGTGAAAACTAGTGTTTAGTGAAGAGGAAGTAAAGGGTTGACAGGAGTAATATGGTGAAGAGTGTTTTGGGGGATAGGATGGTTCTGGTACATTGGTAGTTAGTATGGTGACTTGTATACACATAGAGTTGTCAAGCTATATCTTAGAAATCGCATAGTATTATGAACTAAGGATAAGTCCATAATTATAAAAATAAAAGCAAAGAATTGCATAGTCCTTGACATTTGGGCACTCATGAGTTTAGGAAAAAAGTGAAAAATAGATAGAAATTTTACCATTATACCTTCATTCATCCCTGATAAGGAAAGCAAATGATTTACTTTTCTTTTTCTCCCATGAAACATAGAATTGTTTAAATATTACTTTGAATCGTGTTACACATGATGTGTCTCACAGAGCTATGCTTTCACTGAACATCAGTTACAGCTAGCTCATATTCTTTAGCAATTGACTAAAGTACTGTCTTTGGCATAATTTGTCAAAATTGGAAGGCACCAAAATTGGTAGGTAATCAAAATTAGAAGTCATTGTTTTCATCATAGTCATCATCACTATCAAAGGAAAAACAAGAATATATGATGGAATTCTGACATTATCTGACTTCCAGGCTTGCAATAAAGTTACTAAAATTAGAGTAGATGAGCAGTGTAATATTGACAAAAATATTAATTGAACAGAATAGAGTTTAGTAACAGTGCATCATATAGATTAAACTATTTTTTTAAATTTAAAATATGGACTGCTTCCTGAATTTGTGGATCATCCTTGCACATGGACCACACTAATATTCTCTGTATTATTCAAATATCAATATATGTACAGTGGAAGCAAGTACAAAGTCAACTGATTTTTCACAGTGGATAAAGGTAGTACAATGGAGAAAAGATACTTTTATACCCAAGGTATTAGAATAACTAGACTTCTACATGCAGAAAATGAATATAGACACAAATCTTATGCTTTCCAAAAAAAAAAAAAAACCCAAACAATTAAAAAACTCAAGACAGATTCCAGACTTAAAGCAAATGTAAGATAAGATGCAAGTCCATACAACTCTTAGAAGACAGCAGAGGAGAAAAATCTAGATGATCTTGGGTTGGCAGTGACTTCCCAAGAGTAAAATCTAGGAAAGAAGGAGTAAATTGAACTTGATTACACTGGAAAACTTTTACTTTGCAAAAGACAAAGTCAGGAGTATTAAAGGTCAAGAGTAAAAGTTTCAAAAGAAAGCTGATAAAGGTCTGTTGGCTAAATATGCAAAGAACTCTTAAAACAAACATTAAGAAAACTTGATTACAATATAGGTCAGAGACTTAGTACACACTTTACCAAAAACGATGGTAATGGTGATAGAGCACATAAGAAATACTTCACATTCCAGGTTATTAGGAAAATGTAAATTAAAACTCCAATGAGATGACATTCACTTCTATAAAAAATGGCCAAGATTCAGAACTTTGGCAACACTAAGTCATAGGACGGATGCAGAGAAATAGTCTCATCCATATGTGTATGCATGTATGCATTTGGTGACTTGTCATTGGTTTGCAATGATAGAATTTCAAGAGTAGAGCATTATACCTACCTACGTGTTTCAGAATCAGTGGACCTGCGACCAACAGTCTAGTACCATGCTACTACCCCAAAGACACCTTCTACCACCTTCCTTTCCACCTGGTAAACACCATAGTTTTCACCAAACCTAGGGTAGAGTTCTGCTGGTTTTCCCACAGACTGATACCTTAGTAATAGTTGTACTCCATATATGAATGAAACTTCTATAATTTTTTAAACTTCCTTATTTTATTTAGCATATCAGCTCAATTTCATCCATTAGAAATGACTACAAAAGCTCTAAGTCCAAAGCCTTACCATGGACAAATTTTGGAGGATTAAAATAAAAAATAGAAGAAGCAGAAGCTCTTATTCTTCTCTTGTGAAACCAACTTGCTGTTACCATCTGTCCTAGCAGTCACTTTTCTTAGTGCTTACCAATAGAGTTGACAGGAGTCCTGTCCAGAAACCTGCACAAAACCTCACATGTATGTGTGGAGCAGCTTTAATCATAATTACCAGTAAATGGAAGCATGTAATATGTCTTGGGTTGGTAAATAGAAAACTGGGTCCCCACCCAGGTTTAGTTCAGCATCTCATGTTCCCCAGCAATCTATGGGCGTGACCCTGGTGGCCCCCAAACACTGCAAGCATGGTCCTATTGGTACTGAGCAGTACCACATCCTTGGGCTAGCATTGAGCTGTTGGCCCAGTGCGCTGAGTATTGCTGGGATCGCCTTAGGCCCCTTGAGTACCATTTGGGGTCCCATTGCCTTCACCTTCAAAACCTAAACATACTGGGGTATACATATATAATAGAATATTTCTTTTGGGGTGCTTAATATAAATAGATTGTCAAGGCATGAAAAAATATGGAAGATTTCTAAATGTATAAAGCTAATAAGAGAAGTTGTTCTGAAAAGAATATATATTGTAATTCCAACTATAGAGATTTTGAGAGTCAGAACCCTAGACAGTAAAAATTGTTATTGTCAGGAGTTCAGGATGAACATATTATATGCAGAGTGGAATGATTATTTAAAACAATAAAATGACTGAGCATAGTATTCTAATGGTCTATACAAGTAGTTATAAAATTTTCCAAAAGTCTTAAAATATACATCATGAAGAATGAGTTCTAATGTTAACTTTGAACCCCCTCTATTAATGTTTGTTGTGACAGATTTTTTATTCTGGCAGTGAATATTTCATCTTCTGCTTAATTTTGCTGTGAGCCTAAAAGTCCACTAAAATTTTAGTAAAGGTCTATATTGAGGTAATATAAAGGAATGCAGAATTATGTGATTAATTATATAAACTAGTTATTCGAATTAGAAATACATTAATATCATCTTAATTAAGAACACTTAAAAGGAAGTTGGACATAATTTGGTTCTTGAGAGACACAGGTTGCTTATTAAAAGTGAAATAACATTTCTAAGATGTAGCATCTAAGAAAAGCTATTTGTTTTCTGAGGTCAGGATCAAGATGAAGGTCTTCACTCTCTCACCATTTTAATCAACATAGTACTGGAAATCCTAACCACAGCAATTAAAAAGCAAGATAAATAAAGGGACTGAAATAAAGGAGTCAAATTATCACTATTTGCAGATGACCTATATACACAGAAAACTAATATACTTTTTAGCCATCAAATACACCACCAAAATATATAAACAATAAAATTCATTGTAAAGTAAATGAGAATAACTGAATTTACTAAGCAAGGGCGTTGGGATAAAAGGTTTTGGGGGAGCATAGTGGGTTGGATGAGAGGTGGAAGGATATTGATACTTTGGTGTTTGGTGTCATATAGTGGCATAATAGCACGGTAGTACGGGCCTCTGTTATTCATCGATTTGCTCGAGCGGGCCCAGTAATGTCTCCATCATGAGACTTGTTACTGTGTTTGGCATATTGAACACGTCACAGGTAGCTTGCCAGGCTCTCTGGGAGGGGTGGAAGAATCGAACCTAGGTCAGCTGGGCCGGCCACGTGCAAGGCAAACACCCTAACACTGTGCTATTGCTCCAGCCCAGTAGCATAGTACACCTAAAAAATAAATATTGATGCTACTGTAAAGGGCTGGAGTGATAGCACAGCGGTAGAGCATCTGCCTTGAGCACAGCCGGCCCAGCAGAGCTGGGTTTGATTCCTCTGCCCCTCTTGGAGAGCCTGGCAAGCTACTCAGTGTATATTGCCTGCATGGCAAAGCCTGGCAAGCTACCTGTGATGTATTCAATATGCCAAACACAGTAACAACAAGTCTCATGATGGAGACGTTACTGGGCCCGCTCGAGCAAATCGATGGACAACGGGAGGACAGTGCTACAGTGCTACAGTGCTTCTGTAAATCATGGTATCTCAATAAATTGTCACAATGGGTCTGAAAAGTATATGTTGATTCAGATCTATATTAAAGGAATCACTTTAGTATTTTCATCATCATTGTTGTTTTACATCCTTTTTTTTGAAGCTACCTATGTATTCCTTATCTTGGTGACAAAACACTCATTAGTTAAAAATTAGGAAAACAAAATATAAATAATTTTTAATATTAATAAATACTTATTTTAATTATTTATTAATAAATAATAAACAAGCAATTAGAAGTTATTTCTGTGCAAACAACTTTAAATCACATGAAGCAATTATTGTTACCTCTTTTTTTTTTCTTTTTGGGTCACACCTGGCAATGCTCAGGGGTTACTCCTGGCTTTGCACTCAGGAATCACTCCTAGCGGTACTTGGAGGACCATATGGGATGCTGGGAATTGAACCCTGGTCAGCTGCGTGCAAGGAAAACGCCCTACCCGCTGTGCTATTGCTCCAGCCCCAATTATTGTTAACTCTTAAGTAATCATTTGAACATATTTTTGGTAACTGCTGACTGATAATTCTGATCAAGTCTTTAGAGTTATATTCATTGTAAGAAGAAGTTAGATTTGCCAATGATTTTGTTCAAGTTTGTATAGAGAGGTTGCAGTGAAACTTGTTGAAATTGAGAATATTAGCATAAACCAACCTCTGCGCATTCCTCACCAAGCGTGTCACCATTATGCCCAAGGACATCCAGCTGGCGTGCCACATCCACCGGAGAGAGAGCATAAAGTTTACTAGAATCTCAGGGCTGGGACAAATGGAGATGCTACTGGAACCCGCTCAAGTAATCAATGATTAACGGGATGACAGTGACAATGACAGTGACACCATAAAATATTGTTCACCAGAATTTAGTATAAGTTAAATAGTAAGCACATGAATCTTTTATGGGTTCACATTTAAAATAATTGTTCTTATAGAATTTAAAGTTAGTTGATCCTTTGATATGATTGATAGTGCATATTGATTGCCCATATAGAGTACACTTATATCTTTGAAATAAATCTTATTGGAATTTTAAAAATTCTCATGATTATTATATTAAATATTTTTTAGATAATAAACACATATACTTGAAGTTTTGTTATAAACTTGTAAAGAAACTTGTAAAGATATATTACTTGTTAATGAAGTTGATTTTCTATTAAATCTATTAAATTCAGTTAGACATTTAATTCCTAAGTGAATTTCTTTAGCTTTAGCATGTATTTATTCATGATACCATTATGCATCATAATAGTGCACAATTTATAGACATATAAAGGTTTACTCTTTTCAAAACAATCTTACCCATAAATTATTTTTTGTAAGGGGGACCACACCCGGTGATGCTAAGGGCTTACTCCTGGCTCTGCACTCAGGGATTACTCCTGGTGGAGTTCAGAGGACTATATGTGGTGCCAGGAATCAAACATAACTTCCATGTAATTTGAATGAATTTTTTTCATGTTTATTAATTAGAAAACACGGTATATCCTTTGGTATTTCTGTTCTGTATTCCAGTGTCCCATATATCTTATACTAATCAACAGCGTTTTCTAAATATCAAATAGCTCAAATCCCCTCATCTCTTCATACAAACAAAATGCCTCATATAATCACTAATGCATTTCTAACTGGTTTTATGCCCTGAACTTTCCTCTGAAGAAGTGTGTCCACATGCTTTTTTTCTGCACTGTCAATTTGGGTGCTTATTGTCATAAAATATTTGTGAAGAATAAGATTTCACTAATTTTGGCAAAAATCCATATGGAAACAAGAAGAGAGTCAAGTCTGGGATGAAGTACTTCTAAAAAATGGAGGACTGTCAAGTACCTGTCCCTGGGAAGTTCAGCTTAGGGTGATGGTATTAGCATATTGCTTATAGCGGCCTGTCCAATAAAAATTATGTCTGAATT